GGGTGATAATTGCCATGCATCTTTCGGGTCATCCACTGTCTGGAAACTATTGCAGCACCTCCTGGCAATGGCAAGAAAAAAAAAATCTTAGCTTGAATCCTTGCAAATCAACTCCTGCCACACAGAAGAAAATCTTCCAGAATCCCAGTGTGGCTTCAAACCATCTGAGGAACAGTGGACATGATTTTCATCACTTGGAAATTGCAAGAAAAATGTTACGAACAAAATCAAGCCTTATATAGGAGTTTCATGGACCTGACCAAAGCATTCGACTCAATCAATCGTAGTGCCCTGTGTAGCAAAGATTGGTTGCCCCAAAAAATTCTCAGGAGACTGAAGGCCAAAAACAGGACCTCCACAACTTCAATCATAGAGCTCTAATAAGCAGATGACAATATGGTTGCTGGTTTTTTCCCCCATAGCTCTTCAGACTATCTTAAGTGCCTTCACTGAAGCATATGAGAATCTCTGCCTCACACTGATCATCAAAAAGACCAAGGTGCTTCATCAACCCTCCCTGACAGGACAATCTCATGTACCATCTATTGAAGTCAGAGAACTGCTGGAAAATGTGGAGTATTTCCCATACCTTGGAAGTCATTGCTCTGCCAAAGTCGACATTAACACCGAAATCCAGCATTGCCTGAGCTACGCAAACTCTGCTTTTGCCTGCCTAAGATGAAGGGTCTTTAAGAACTGGGACATCAGTGCCAAGACAAAGCTCCTTGTGTACTGCACAGTGGTTGTTCCAACACTGCTGTATGCATGTGAAATCTGTACAACATACAAGTGTCACCTGAAGGCACTTGAACACTATCAATCAATATCATCATTGCTGCCTCAGGAGAATCTTAAATAACCCTTGGGAGGACAGGTACATAAACACTAGTGCCCTGGAAGAGTTGAACATGACCAGCATTGAAGCTATCAATAGCTATCTACCAACAACTTCACTGGACTGATCAGCACCTCCCAAACAGATTCTGTTTTCTGAGCTGTAGTAAAGACCGAGGAGCATTGAGGGCCAGATGAAGACATGCAAGGACATGACGGCAAACATGAAAAAGTGTGGCATCAGTGTCAACACTTGGGTGAACCTTGCCCAGGATCATCCCCAGTAGAGAGTGGTAATCCATGAGGGGATGGTGCAACTTGAGAGGTCTCGCTGCAGGGCAGAGGGGAAAGGCAGAGGAGGAGAGAAGAGCAGCAAAAACTGTCCCTTCTACAGTAAGACCTGCAGCTTCAGAATCAGGCTGATCAGCTATTAACAGATCCACAAATAGGAGGGTGACAGGAAGAAGTCCTATTTGTTATTGAGCGACTGCCAGGGGGGTGGTGGTGCTGTAGGTTTTGGTACCGTTGAGGTAATCGGTACCGATGTACCTGGCAGTACTGAGGTAGTTGTTGGTACCGTAGAGGTTACCGATATGGCTTTAGGGTGTTGTTAGAACCCTTTGTGATCCGCATCAGCAGCGGCCGACAGGTACTGACACGTGGCCTCTGTGCTGATGGCCTGGGGGAGAGGGACCATTTCTTGGAGAAGAGTTCATGATGAGGCACTGAGGACTCTCTCCTCTTTGATGCCTTCTTGTCCTGAGGAGAACCTGGGATGAGCGTACCTCCCTAGGTTGTCATCCCAGGTCTGAGGCAGGGTGTTTACTCTTCTCCAGTAGAATTAGCTTTAAGCAGAAGTGTCTGTTGCTGTGAGCCTTGGCCTTTTAAGTTTGGTGCAGTCCTGAGGTGAATGATGTTCTACCAGACATCTGACGCATTGTGCATATCTGTCAGAAATTGGCATTGCCTCTACAGGAGAGAGAGTGTTTAAAGCCTGGAGAACCAGGCATGGTGAAAAAAGTTTGTTTTGTTTTTTTAAATGACTAACAACTAACAAACAACAAAAAGAACTAACTACTAATCTATGAAAATCTCTTTCAGAAATGTCAAATAAAGCAGAGAACTCAGGTCGAGGGCAGTTGAGAAGGAATTGGAGGGCTCGAGCCACGTCTCTGCAGTGCCTGCTGGCATGTTTCATGCTGCTTGGCACCGTGCATGGATGACTTGCGCAGGGACTGCTTCAAAATCGCCATTCCAGGAGCTGGGAAGGCATCCAGTTCAAATGTGGAGCATCCATGGGGGGACCTCTTGAGGAAGATTCTCCTCAAAAGGTTTATGTACCTTTCTTAGACACGTTTGCCTAAATAAGGATCCTTATTTCTTAAACTGAACTTTTTTACCTGCCAAGATGAAAGTTTGAGACTTAAATTTCTCTTTTAATATTTGCAACTAGAAGACTTACCAGGCATTGCTCAGGTCCTTTAGAATAGGGAACTGGACGTGGGGTAGATGCAGGAGTCAGGACAGGGACTGGTTTCAGATATCAATCGATACCATTAATTTCAATTTTAATACAAATAAAGAATCCCAGCCACCAAAAGGAGAAACACTGTTTTCAAGTAAGATGTGTGTTGAAAGCTTTTACTGAACTACAATCATCTGTTTAACCAGAACAGTAATATATATAAAAAAAAAGTACCCTAATATAATCTCCCTTGCAAAAATTTCTTTAATTTTCTCCTTAATCCCACCTATGCTTTGGGGTTTGCTGAACCCAACTACAATGGCTCTCTAATAGGGATGTAAAATCCCATTTAGTTGTTTAATTGGTTCACCAATTAAAGGGGAGGTTGCTCCAGACCTGCTAGAGCAGTCCCTCCCACCCCATCACTGGGCTCCAGCTGCCCCTGCCTGTGGCAGGGCAGGGGGGCGCCGTTAACAAGCATGTGATATGCCAGCAGGCACCACGTGTGTGCGGCTCACACCCTCCAGTTCCTTCCCTACCTTGGAGGCCCTCCAAATCTGAAGCAGAAGATAAGGGGGTGGGTCATGGAGCATCCACGGGGACACCCATCTCGAATAACTCCAGTTACTGCACAAGGTGAATTACCTTAATTTCTTCCTGGAGAGGTGTCTCCATGGATGCTCCACTTTGGGGATTAACAAGCAGTTTCAGCCTGTGGTGGGTGGGGCTTCAGAATATTGCAGAAGGCCAAAGATAGAACTGCAGAGTCCACTGAAGTGCCAACCCCATAAGAAAATGCAAAGTGCTGTACTAAAAAATTAGGTTGGTATAACTACACTGGTCAGCGGTGTGATGCCACACCCAAGCTGTATCAAGCAAACCCAAGTCCCTGTGTATACAGCACTCAGTCAATGGAAGAATTTTTCTGTCAGCCTACCTACTGCCTCTTCGGGAGGTGGATTGCCTACGCTGATGGGAGAATCCCTCATGTCAACATGCATACTGTCTGCACTGAAGCACTATAGCAGCACAACTATTCCACTGTAACAATTTAAGTGTAGACACAGCCTTACTTTGCTCATTGGAATATTAATGGGACTAATCCAGCTACATTTGGTCATTTCCCTTTCCTAAGTAGTATGCTAATTTGATATGTAAGTCTACACTGAATTATGCTGGGGGAAAACTCAGCTAGAATTTAAATTTAAGAGCAAAAATAAGAAAAAATTGTCAAGATACACAGAACAAGTTCAGGTAAACATTTAAAATTTATTAAACTTTTTGGTCAAAATAATTGAACAAGTATATACAATCCCATTGTATTAGCTCTATTACGTATTTTAAGAACAAGGTCAAATCTAATGCTTAAATGACCTAGTTCTACAATTCAAGATTTGCAAATAGTGTCACAACCAATATACAGTATAAGATTTTTATTTAAACTTTATTTGTAGAACCCCCAAAAGTTAGCTGTATTTACTAGCTTATTGTGAACAAGAGTGGCACTATGGACATTAATTGAGAGGGTAGGAACAGACATTTTTCTCTTGCATATCTTATCTGATTGAGTAATCATAATACACCTTCATTTTATTAAAAATGGAGTGTAAACCACACTTCTGTATTTCATCAGGGAAGCTCAACGGGCTAATTTCTGAAAGACACCTTTGATTTTGTAGGCACATTTCATAGCCCTTATATATCTAGGTAACGTAATGCTATTAAAATGTGCCTACACCCTCACCTGGTCTGGGTGAAAAACTGATGGATGAGTTCTGGCCCCTTTTTAAAAATAGTACCAAGAACTATTCTTTAACCTCCTGCTGTCAATGGGAACAGATATTACCACAAATGCATTTCACATCAGTATGTAGCCTCCACAGAGCCTGATCTCTTGGTGTCTTTGTTAGACTATGTTATAATTTATTTTGTTGTGATGCTGCTTAGCATAAATTAATTATTTTAACTCCAATGTGAAATTCAATATATATGCCAAAATTTTAATTTAAAATAAAGTATATTTTTTTCCAAACCAAAAGTACTGAACAGGTGAAAAAAAAGTAATGTGCATAAAGTATGTGTCTGTCTCAAACATTTGAGAGGACTCTGTTAAACTGGATTTTTAGTTTTCAAAGCAGCAATTTTATTGAATATTTTCAGTTATTTTTCCTTCTGTGCAAGATGGTCTCTTACTATTATGGCTCTAGATGACTTTATACCAAACTTTTCAATCTCTAACTTTTTTTGCATACAGTATATAATTTTACAGAAAAACAACCTAATGACAATTCCGTGGAAACTAATTTCAGAGTTTGAAATATTTCATGTTATACGAAACTTCAGATCTGCCTGTCAAAAATCAATGTTCTGGAACAAACTTGTCAAATCTTCCCATCAGAATTTTTTTTTCACAATTTCAATACATGCGATAAAAAAATAAAAAAGACTGAATACATACTTTCAGATTTAAAAACACTTTTTTATAGTTTGTTATTTTTATTAAGTGGTTTACACCCGAAGGTGTGGTTATAGATACAGTTGGTGAGTAAATATACATGGAAACTTGCCTACAAATCCAACTCAAGACCTACCTTAGTGCTCAGAGATAAAAACACCTAAGCCTAGATGAAAGGCCAGAGGAGGAATGTTTACAGGCATAAAGCACAATATATGTTTTGAAAGGCCCAAATATTACAGCAGAGAAAGAGCGCGAGAGACAGAAATTACATTTTTTTGACAAATTTTCTTCTTGGGTGTTAAATTTTTGGTCTATAAACTGGAAAGGAAGGCTCAGACTTAAATAAATACATTTGAATATTGGCCTTTATTGAGTACTGTCCATCAATTCTGCTTCTAGTGGGCTTTTTCTTGTTGAAAATTGCAACTCACATCCCCCCCTCATTGAAGGCAGAACTACACCATGAACTCAAAATCAGGCAAGCTTCTCTCCTTTATCTATAAAAGGAAGTAAGTGCATCAATGTTCTTTACTGGTAGGACAACAAGGCCTTCTCTTTTACAGAAACAACTGAGCTTAACTATGCAAGAAGATGACTGTCCTCAAATAAGCCACCTTTAGTTAATTTTGTCCTGGAATATATACAAGTTATTGGTGGCAGCTACAGCAATGATGTTCTCTGTGGGGTGCCATGCTGTATGAAGGATCTTCTTGTTGAAGTCCAGACTGTCAACACTTATCTCATCTTTCTTTCTCTTACCACCTGTACACACTTTGCGTGGCTTTAAGATGGCACGAGGTTTGCTACTTTCTCTTGATGCTTCTAATGTAATATCCCGTCGTGTGTTACGATCAAACATCCTAAAGAAATTGTTGTAGGAGCCAGTCATGATAGCACTGTTCAAAACCAGAAAGGAAAGCATTTTACTGGATTTACTAGTGACCATAACACATTAGTCCACTCCAGCATTCCTCTAATTTACTACTTCTGCGCACAGAATGAATGACTTCCAGAGTTCCATTTTAAGACTAGCATTACGTTCCTTTCCCTCTTACTTTATGTCCTCCCTCATTACTTCTCCTTTGATCTGTCTTCCCACATCATTTATTTCATATACCACATTCACCACTTGCCTCTTCTCCAGCTCTCTTCCCTTCCCCCTCTCGCCATCCACTTTCACACAGGCAAATCACTTGTGACTTTTCCCTTCATTAGCACTCTGGATCAGCACAAAAGGAAGTGGCTGGTGAAGCAGCAGGACCCTCTCCCTCACAGTTCATAGCAGAGCTGCTCCTTTTCCTAATATAGCACTATCTCTATATCCTCCTTATACTACAGCAGTCAGGGGAAAAAGTCCTTAAGCAACCACCCAAATCCAGCTAGCAGTACCAGAAAGGCAAGACATTTCTCCTGTACTGAAGACACTCGTCTATTTAAAAAATGTGTCTTGAAGCCCATTGCTACTTCCTAGATACCTATTATCTCTACCTCCCCAATGAGTTTAAAAAATGTGTCTTGAAGCTCATTGCTACTTCCCAGATACCTATTATCTCTACCTCCCCAATGAGAGAAAATTATGAAGACTAATGCAAATATCGATATTGTGAAAATTTAAGAGAACAGTATAAAATAAACTAACTTCTAATATCAAAATTCTATACTGATTGGATATACTAGAGGTATAAAGAACTTCTCTGGGGTGGAAACAGTGCCATAGGTTATGCAAAAAGAATGAGATACCTTTTTAAGTTCAGTCAAAAGAGTTAACAGAAAATGACCAACTTTGTTAAAGATATTTAACTCTTGTATTAACAGAAAAACAGATTGACACCGCTCCTGTTTGGGACATGATACAAGGGTAGGATTGCTAATATTATAAGTGAGATTTTTGCTCTGATCCTAATAAGCTTTTTGTTTTGGTTACAGATGTAGCTGCACCTCTCTCCCCTTTCTTTTTTCTCCCCGAATGTACCACTTCAGGTGTTAGGCCTCATTCCTTTAACTATCCAAGGGTGGAATTTTGCAATGCTACAGTTCTCCTATCAATAATTTCTAGCATGTGAATGGTTAACCTGAAAGCATCATTCTACCATGTGAATGGTTAACCTGAAAGCATCACCCTTACCAGGTGATGCTTACTGGTTACAGTTAACCAGCAGGGACTGAAGCAGCATAGCAGACAGGCCTTGAGGATGCATAACATAATATAAATCTATGCTGAAGTGTTTTCAGGATTGGGCACTAAATTTATTTCACAAATTAATCTTACCTGTCAGAACCATTCCAGCAGCATTCAAACTTGTCAAAGATGCAGTCATTTTCATACAGAGAACAAAGCTTGCTTCGAAGATATTCATGAACCTTAAAACATTTAATGAAGTATTAGACAGACTTAAAGAAAATGATGCTTTTTAAATAAAAAATTATGAAAACTGTACCTGATATGTCTCTACAGGCCTGTTTTCCATATTGAGATCCCACACTTTAACTGAAAGGTAGTCTCTTGTCATCATGTATCGACCACTGTGACTGAATTTTACATCAGATATTGAAGAAATAATTTCTGAAAAGAATGATCTGCTGCTGGGATCTTCAGGCTCTTCAAAAACTGTAAATTAAGATGTAAAGTAAAACTTCATCCAATACAACAAATTTTACAAATGGCAATGCTATTCAGTATTTACATATTTTAAAATCATGGACCTGAATACTAAGTCCCCCATTTAAAAAAAGAAAAGAAAAAAAAGAGATCATAGCCTGGCTTAGTTTTGTGGGGATTTTTTTTTTTTTTAAAGGTGATCTTTGTTTAAAAAGGCACTAAGTTCTGGTATATCTAGACTATCAAGAAACTGCAATTCTTGGACTTTGGGAATGAACATTAGAGAGGAATTAACCAAAAAAAATGTATAGGAATCTAAATTAAAAAATAATTGCTTTTCCACTAGGACTACTTATTATGATAAAGCAGAACTACAAAATATTAAATATGTACAATAATAATGCATCTCCAGTGTACATTCTTTTCTAGATCCCATATCTCAGTGGTGCTAGAGAATATGCATTTTATAAAGCAAATATAAATTGCATCACACACAAAATATATTGAAAGAGCACATTTGTATTTACACTGGAATTGCAATCAGGATCTAGGTCTACTTTTTTGAATCGTGCTACTTGGTGATGTTGAAAGTTCACGTACTCTTTATCCTTAAAATCAATGACAATACAAACCATTTAATACCAAGAGAATACCACCAAAGTTCGTTCTTATAAACCTTGTATATAACCATCACAGACTATGGTACATTTTACAGAGTAAAGAAAGTAAACAAAAATGATAAGCTAGACTGGCTATTGACATGAGGCCAGAGCAGCCTCTGTCTATGGGGTTCCTGGGCTCTCTATAGTCAGCTCTGCTCCAGCCGGGCCAGAGCAGCACCTGTCCATAACAGGTCCCCTGTAGGGCAGAAGCAGCCCCCTTCCTACCTGTCCAATGTTTCAGCCCCCACTGGTTAACCTTTACCATTAAGCCTTACCCGTTAAGGCTGAGGCTTACCGTTTGATCAGTTAAATGCTCACATCCCTCCTCTCTAATAGGCAGAATAACATTATTTAGTCATCCAGTATGGACCTTACAAATACTTAAGCCTGGTCTGTACTAAAAAATTAGGTTGGTATAACTACACTGGTCAGCGGTGTGATGCCACACCCAAGCTGTATCAAGCAAACCCAAGTCCCTGTGTATACAGCACTCAGTCAATGGAAGAATTTTTCTGTCAGCCTACCTACTGCCTCTTCGGGAGGTGGATTGCCTACGCTGATGGGAGAATCCCTCATGTCAACATGCATACTGTCTGCACTGAAGCACTATAGCAGCACAACTATTCCACTGTAACAATTTAAGTATAGACACAGCCTTACTTTGCTCATTGGAATATTAATGGGACTAATCAGCTACATTTGGTCATTTCCCTTTCCTAAGTAGTATGCTAATTTGATATGTAAGTCTACACTGAATTATGCTGGGGGAAAACTCAGCTAGAATTTAAATTTAAGAGCAAAAATAAGAAAAAATTGTCAAGATACACAGAACAAGTTCAGGTAAACATTTAAAATTTATTAAACTTTTTGGTCAAAATAATTGAACAAGTATATACAATCCCATTGTATTAGCTCTATTACGTATTTTAAGAACAAGGTCAAATCTAATGCTTAAATGACCTAGTTCTACAATTCAAGATTTGCAAATAGTGTCACAACCAATATACAGTATAAGATTTTTATTTAAACTTTATTTGTAGAACCCCCAAAAGTTAGCTGTATTTACTAGCTTATTGTGAACAAGAGTGGCACTATGGACATTAATTGAGAGGGTAGGAACAGACATTTTTCTCTTGCATATCTTATCTGATTGAGTAATCATAATACACCTTCATTTTATTAAAAATGGAGTGTAAACCACACTTCTGTATTTCATCAGGGAAGCTCAAGGGGCTAATTTCTGAAAGACACCTTTGATTTTGTAGGCACATTTCATAGCCCTTATATATCTAGGTAACGTAATGCTATTAAAATGTGCCTACACCCTCACCTGTTCTGGGTGAAAAACTGATGGATGAGTTCTGGCCCCTTTTTAAAAATAGTACCAAGAACTATTCTTTAACCTCCTGCTGTCAATGGGAACAGATATTACCACAAATGCATTTCACATCAGTATGTAGCCTCCACAGAGCCTGATCTCTTGGTGTCTTTGTTAGACTATGTTATAATTTATTTTGTTGTGATGCTGCTTAGCATAAATTAATTATTTTAACTCCAATGTGAAATTCAATATATATGCCAAAATTTTAATTTAAAATAAAGTATATTTTTTTCCAAACCAAAAGTACTGAACAGGTGAAAAAAAAGTAATGTGCATAAAGTATGTGTCTGTCTCAAACATTTGAGAGGACTCTGTTAAACTGGATTTTTAGTTTTCAAAGCAGCAATTTTATTGAATATTTTCAGTTATTTTTCCTTCTGTGCAAGATGGTCTCTTACTATTATGGCTCTAGATGACTTTATACCAAACTTTTCAATCTCTAACTTTTTTTGCATACAGTATATAATTTTACAGAAAAACAACCTAATGACAATTCCGTGGAAACTAATTTCAGAGTTTGAAATATTTCATGTTATACGAAACTTCAGATCTGCCTGTCAAAAATCAATGTTCTGGAACAAACTTGTCAAATCTTCCCATCAGAATTTTTTTTTCACAATTTCAATACATGCGATAAAAAAATAAAAAAGACTGAATACATACTTTCAGATTTAAAAACACTTTTTTATAGTTTGTTATTTTTATTAAGTGGTTTACACCCGAAGGTGTGGTTATAGATACAGTTGGTGAGTAAATATACATGGAAACTTGCCTACAAATCCAACTCAAGACCTACCTTAGTGCTCAGAGATAAAAACACCTAAGCCTAGATGAAAGGCCAGAGGAGGAATGTTTACAGGCATAAAGCACAATATATGTTTTGAAAGGCCCAAATATTACAGCAGAGAAAGAGCGCGAGAGACAGAAATTACATTTTTTTGACAAATTTTCTTCTTGGGTGTTAAATTTTTGGTCTATAAACTGGAAAGGAAGGCTCAGACTTAAATAAATACATTTGAATATTGGCCTTTATTGAGTACTGTCCATCAATTCTGCTTCTAGTGGGCTTTTTCTTGTTGAAAATTGCAACTCACATCCCCCCCTCATTGAAGGCAGAACTACACCATGAACTCAAAATCAGGCAAGCTTCTCTCCTTTATCTATAAAAGGAAGTAAGTGCATCAATGTTCTTTACTGGTAGGACAACAAGGCCTTCTCTTTTACAGAAACAACTGAGCTTAACTATGCAAGAAGATGACTGTCCTCAAATAAGCCACCTTTAGTTAATTTTGTCCTGGAATATATACAAGTTATTGGTGGCAGCTACAGCAATGATGTTCTCTGTGGGGTGCCATGCTGTATGAAGGATCTTCTTGTTGAAGTCCAGACTGTCAACACTTATCTCATCTTTCTTTCTCTTACCACCTGTACACACTTTGCGTGGCTTTAAGATGGCACGAGGTTTGCTACTTTCTCTTGATGCTTCTAATGTAATATCCCGTCGTGTGTTACGATCAAACATCCTAAAGAAATTGTTGTAGGAGCCAGTCATGATAGCACTGTTCAAAACCAGAAAGGAAAGCATTTTACTGGATTTACTAGTGACCATAACACATTAGTCCACTCCAGCATTCCTCTAATTTACTACTTCTGCGCACAGAATGAATGACTTCCAGAGTTCCATTTTAAGACTAGCATTACGTTCCTTTCCCTCTTACTTTATGTCCTCCCTCATTACTTCTCCTTTGATCTGTCTTCCCACATCATTTATTTCATATACCACAT